GCCTCACTCTGTGTGCAGGTAGTTAGGAGTGTCGGCGTGAAGGGCCAGTGTTACTGTGGAGCAATGCTAATTCAAGCAAAACATTACAGGCTATCTCTTTCTGATACAAAACCCTCCTCAACAAAAAAACTTGACACCTCAAAGAATAATCAGGATAGACGTATCCCTCTCCCTCTTTGTGACTACAAGCTCTTTGTGAGTAACTGGTGAGGCAGTTATTTCTGTTAGGTTCTAGTTCTGGGCAGGGACTGTGCAATCAAAGATACCTGTTGTGTCTTTGTGGGGGACTTCCAGATGGACAGGCATAATATAGCCATGACGGAGGAGCACCTGGGATGCTCAGGGAGCCTGGGAGCAGGGCAGACAGAAGGGGCTCCCGCTTGAATTTATTGTGAAGGATACTAGCAGTCTGCTTATTGGGAAACACAGGTAGCAAAGGACAGTCCCAGCGAAGGGGACAGCGCGGTCCCTTCTGCTGCAAAGGTGTGGAGTGAGATTGGGCGATGGCATATTGTCCCATAAGTTGGGCGCATCAGTGGGTGACAAGGAATTAAGAGATGTGGACAAAGGCCAGAGCAGGGTTCAGAGATAGATGTGCATTTATCAACTTACACCCGTGAGAAAACCAATGTTCATATTTTATAGTTTTTCTTTCAGATGATTTTTAAAGTTGAACTTCCTTGCATCTCTTATATTGCTTAGGTCGAATCTCCATTTACTTTATCACTGTGACCTTTGAAAATCTCCACCTTGAGCACCTTGTAGAAGCTGCTTGGTGAATTCACTAGCCTGAACCAAACCACCCTTGGCAGCCATTCTGTAGCTTAATCATAAAGGACTGCCTTTGTTTGCTGTTTTTCAGGTACCATGACCAACAGGATGTTACCAGCAACTTCCTTGGGGCCATGTGGTTGATATCAATAACTTTTCTCTCCATTGGATATGGTGACATGGTACCTAACACATACTGTGGGAAAGGAGTCTGTTTGCTTACCGGAATCATGGTAAGTGTCTCTTTACGTTCCGTCTCTTATTTATGTTCGAGAAGACACTTCGACCCCTCAGTCCGTGTGTAAAGTCGTTGTAGGCCAATAGGTTTCCCAAGCAGGAAGTTGGTGTAAATGAATCAGTTCCATGTAGGGAGAGAACATCAATGGTTTCCCCCTTAATTCTTCCCCCCAGGAAGCCCTGTTGAGGACATAGTGCTGGGAGGTTGCTCCTTGCTGGCGATACATTCATCAGCTTCAGAGTCAGGCATTTCTTTAAATCTGGGTTCTGCTGCTTCCTACTAGCTGTGTGAACTCTAGGAAATGTCTCTGCCCTGAAACCTGCTTCCTCAGGTACGGAATGTGGACCACAATAACTACCTTGAGTGTATCAAAGGCTTAGGGAATGACATTCGTCTCAATTACATAATTACATTTATCATTTTAACAAGTACTTGCTGAGTGCCAGTTAAGGCACTGGCCTAGATACGGGGAATATAGCAAAAGACAACAGAAACTGTCCTCGCCCTGTCCTTAAGCTTGCAGGGAAAGGCCTGCATTTTAAAAATCATTCACAAGTGACTGTTTGGTAATGGCATCTGTGAGAGGTTGGGAAGAAATAAGGCTTCTGATCTGACTTGGGGACTGGGCACAAGGGATGGCATCTACTCAGAGAAATCGATCCCTGGGAAGTTGACTTCTGAGTGGAGCTGGGAAGGGTGTGTTGCGAGGCAGAGTGGGAGGAAAACAGCGTATTCTGCAAAGAAAAAAATGGTTTCTTTGAAGGTAGTGAGGGAATGAGGTACATTTGAGCAATGCCACTGGGCCAGGAGTATACAGGGTAAAGGGGAGAGGTGGGCTGGCGTGCACTGGGCCCAAGTCTGTGGAGCACTTGGGAAAGGTTTTCTGCCTGTGGTGTCATGCCAGTGTTCTTCTGTGTCACGTAGCAGGCTCAGACCCGTGCCATGTCCCTTACACACCGTGATGTGGCCAGGACTGGTTTTGCCTTTTGTTGTAGATGTATGCAAATGGAAGGCTAGCATGTTTTCTAAAATTTATTCTAATGTGGCGTGAACTCTGCAGTGTCTAAGTCAGCAGTAGTTTCAAATTGTTGCATCTTTTTCAGTGACCTGGGTTCTTTACTCATCTGCTTTTTATAGTTGCTCATGGCGAAGAACATGATCATGATGCCTGTTTGGTTTCCGCCTACATAAGGATGTGAGCTAATACCAGGAGCTCCGAGGCAGGAAATTCCCAGAATTTCAGAAGTAAAGCAGCCCCCACCCAACGCCTCTGTGTGCACCCCCAGGTTGGCAGGAGAAAGGCAAGCTTTCCATGTGAGGGCCTTTGAATGGGGGCCAGGATGGCACGTACCCCAGGAGCAGCTGCCTAGGAAAAGTGTCCCCAGAGTCAGAACCAGCTGGAAGGACTGAGTGCCCATGGCGTGGATGGGTGGAGATATTCTTCTCCTTCTGAATTGGGATAAGGCAGTTAGATGTGAAAATAAAATCTGGAGCCAATTTTAAGATCACGCGTCATGATAAGATGACCCAGTTTCAGATCCCAGTTGTGGAAAATACAATTTGGGGTCATAGCATGTAAAAGAAAAATACAATTATGTGAATTTCAGTGCATGTTTTTCTTACTACAACTGGTATGGTCCTTTATGTTTACTGTTGGATCACGTCCTTCTTTTTCCTCAAAAGATAGCATTTTATTATACGGTATAATGCTCCGGAAAATAAAATCTGCATAGGTGTATTTTTGGAGGGCCCATAACAAGCCCACAGGGACAGGAGTGATGGTGTTTATATCAACAGAGTTGGTAATCGCGCAGTCTTCCTTCTTATGCTTCTTAGAAACAACTTCCTTGGTGTTTCTTCTTGGTGAGATGTCCCCCCTTTTATTCTTGAATCAGGTATGACTCGGGGATTGTGCAGATACTTTCTTTGCCATGCAGCACAGCCAGATCGGAGGTCAGCCTTGCCTGGATCTTGTGGTACTTTTATCTTCCCTCAATGTTTTCTTTGTCCTCAGTGTCTTGAGCACAATTCCTTCAAAGACTCAGCTGATGGTACAGATCATTTCTTTAGTCGCTTGAACCACTTCCTTGCTTGGGTTTCATCAGTGATCCTACCTTGTCTTTCAAAATTAGAAGCGTTAAGCACCTTTTAATCTATATGGACACAAAAATATTACATGCAAGTAAACTTAATAATCACTTTGTTACCACCCTCCAAGCTCCTGGGGAAACAGCCCTCTGTTTTTAGGCCGAAGAGCTCCATTCCATCTCCCTCATGAGTAACAGACTTATTTCTCAATTAACTCGATCAAAAATCATTTACTTGCATATAGAGAAAGTCAGTCACGTTTGACTAGCCCATTTGAACTACCATGTAGCATTGGACTGTCTCCGCCAAGCAGATTCCCAAGGAGTCAGGCCACACGGCAGCCTTCTTGGAGAGCTTCTGAGAGTTGATTAAATCCCATGTAAATGTCCTAGGGATCAAGAGCGTATGTCTGGAGGCTCTCTAGAAATGTGTGGAGAGCGTTTGGCTGGCAACATAGATTCTTAAAAGATGACTTTTTTTTCATAGTTCACATAAAAGGTTCATTTCCTTAAGATGAAATGTGTTTCTGTCAGGCAAATTTTTTCTTTTTGCTTTTGTTCTCAGGAAGTTTAAATACCAGTTTGTCACTCTTGGATTGTCTAAGCCAGGTATGACTTGTTTTGATTTCAGGCGCTCATTTGCCTAGTCCTCCCTGGACTTTGACAGTGCAGGTTTAGGTGAAATGCACATTGTCAGACTTCCCGTGAGTCACCTCTCCGTCTCTGTGTCTCTCTCCCTCTGGTTTTTAATAAACTGTGAAAAAGAAACACAATTTACAACATTCCTGAGAGTACAGAGGGTCATCCCTGTGTCATCTTGTAAATTATCTCTGAAGTACATTTTTTGTGCTCTTTTTTTATTTGGATTTTCTTGTTCTTGTGTTTATGAAGTTTTGATAGCTTTCAGGTCACCTGTGTTTTGCTTCAAAGTGAAAGAAAACACATAAAGGTGCAAATTTTAGTACCTGTACATTTCAAAAATGGACACATGAAGACATTAACACTGCATTTCTTCACAAAGCTAATGAAACTAATTATTTCATGGCATCATCTCAGATGTTCACATTTCATTGGCTGACAACTCGTAATGAAACTAAATTTTTTAAATAGCTTGATTTGTGTCATGAGTTACATTTTTGGGAGCCAAGGACATTAAGATTAATCTGCAGGGCTCTGGGCAGAAATATATTGTTCAACAATGAGGAGAGAGAGTTTTCCAGAATATTTCCAGAACAAATGGCCTTATCAAAAAATAACCTTTCCTCACCTGAAATGTAATTGTGAATCTAAGAGAAGGATGCAAAGCTTTTCTTATAATTTTTAGGTTGTGCTTACAATGCTATACATAGATGATTAGGAAAATATGAGAATAACTGGATCTTAGGTACTGGAATGCTTTAAGGAGAATTTGGATTGTGGAAGATCAAACAGATCAAGTAGAAATTTCCTTTTTACCAAGACCTACCTAGTATTACAGCTTATTAAGAGGCAATGATCTCGCCCCTCTCTCCTGGATATTATTTTAAAAACAGATCATAGGACTGCCTAATAGACAAAGTCACTCATTGCCCTTGAAGAGAAAAACATTATAGTTATTTACTTTCTCCTTATTCTTCTATCCTTCCTCTATTCGGGGAGGTACTAAGGACCTGTGGATTTATTTTTGTGGATATGATGATAGCCAATGGGAGGAATTCTTAAACGGCTTTATTCTTTTGGTTGAAGGTGGTAGGCAAACCGTATTGTTAGATCATGATGTCTCAGCTTTTTATCAATACCAGCTAGTTTCTCAGTATCTCCAACTCTGTTATAAAGTTATCTTATTTGTACAGATATGACACATGCCCAAAGCTTTAATTTTCCCTAACCTATATATATATATACCTCAATGTGTAGCTATATACATTTGTTTCAAGAGTAGAATACAGCCTCATCTGTAAGAGCATCTCTTGTCTTGTATTAGAATGAAAGCCATTCATTTATACTTTTGTTCTCTATTTCTGTGAAATTGTGGCAACTCTTGTTGGCCCTTTAACTATTTAGTGTATGGATGACAGAATTTTTTAGCATAATTATCTTTAAATATGGAATAATATCTGCCCACTCCTAGGAACACAGGTTACTCCAATAGGAGGTCCTCTCACAGTGATCCATAAAGCCCTAGACCTTAACAAAGTGTGTCATGGTGTCTTCAAAGTGGGGCCACATCAGACATGTGTGACCCAGGCTCCTCCCACCCTGTTAGCAATTACGAATGAACAAAACAATGTATGTAGGCTTTCCAGTTCATAAAAACTTAACTATCACCACACTAGTTGATTTTTAATATTTTACTCAGGGAAGGGCAACCAAAAAGTCAATTTTTCACACCACTTTAGGATGTGAACAATTGGTAATAATCCTGTCAGCATCAAATGTACCCGGTGTTGAGGTGTCTTGATTTAAGGTCACAGGGCAAGTCAATCAGAATTCAGTGTTTTTCATCCTGAAGAGTAGAAACAGAACACTGTTAACTCAGTCAGAGGGTGACCCAAAGCACAGCCGTAACTTAGCCAGAGCTTATAAAGGGAATGAGTGGCTTTTAAGAGCGCTACACCTAAGGTCTGATTGTTTTCCTGCTACTGTCTTTCCATTTGAGGATTTTCCCCCATCAGCGGACATAGAAATCTGAGAAATCAGTCCTAAAGCCAGACCTTGGTGTTGCACGTGTGAGTGAGCAGGACAGCAAAACAAAACACCCCAGATCCTCTTATGTGTCTTATACAATTTGACAGCAGGTGTTCAATAGGAAATAATAGTTTTGAAGTGGTTTCTACTTTTCATTTACTTTTTGGCTCTTTCTGGTGTGTTCACTGAATCTCATCAAATAAAAGCCTAGTAAGGATAGTGTATCTTTAAATTCTTACAATAGTTTCTGTTTTGTGCAGAGCAGCAGGAGGGGAGGATGGGCGTTTTCAGCCATAAAGCTAAATTCCCCGCTTGTGCCTTCACTTCTCCTCAGGAAAATTTCTTAAGAAATAGGATGGCTGCTTTCTGCTAGGCCCAGGCAAGGAGAGCTGGAGGTTTTCACTTTCTGGCTTCTCACCGGGTGAGTCCCCAATGCCACCTCATCTTTCTGAACTGTCAGCACTTTCTGTTGGCCGAGCTGCCCTCCCATCTCTAAGGTCCGTGCGCTCACGTTGGCAACGTTGCTAATGAGCAGATTTAAACCCAGAGATGACTCATGGTTGGTGACCAGTTCTATGCAGCACTTTCTTCTCTCCAGCCTCCAAAGCCCATGAATGAGCCGAACAAGCAAAGGTTTTACCACTGTGCTCAAAACCCACCCCCACCCCCTCCTCTGGTCTGTAGGGTGAGGACATTTGAACTGACCCTTGTCAGCAAATATCAAACCTGTATTTGAAGAAACTCAGAGTGAGCTAGGGCGTTTGCCTTCAAAATTACCTTGAACATAGTTTACTTTCATGACCTAAGGAGATCTTGCAAAGCCCCAGTGAGATATAATATAATAAAGTTGGGTGTTTTCTTTTATATATTTTTTGTGAAAGATTAATTATTTGTCAGGCAAGTGCAGTAAAATGTATTCATTGTTCTATGAATAAAATGTATTCATTGTTCTATGACTGAGTCAGGTCAACCCCAGGGACAGAAAAATGGGCCAGGCTTTCAAATACTCATTTTACCTTCCATTTGGAGGACAGGCTGATATTTTAAAATGAAAGTTAATCAATCTTGTAGCTGTTGTATTAATTTGGGTGTATTTAAGGAAAGCATGATTTTTTTCAAAGTAACTGTATTTTGATAGTCTAATAAATTGGCCATTAGATTGAAGTTTGACCTTTTTGGAGCTATTAGAAGACCCATATGTGGGTAACTCATTTAACACTGGGATATTTTGACCATGAGCATGTGTTTTTAAATCAGTCATTCTCTGTGGTGGTTGAATATTCTGGAATTTCAAAATATACATACTTTTTATTACTAATGTCGAATCTTTGGTAGAAACCTTTTATAAGAAGGAATTCCCCTTTTCTAAAGGCTTGCATTCTTAAGTTATTAAAGCTCAATCCCTAAGTGGTTTGTCAACATGATTCTTGGAAGTATTTGTAGGATCAGCATACTAGGTGATCTAAAGTAAAAACATGTCACTTTGAACTTTTCAAACATTATGTGATAAAGCGATCTTGGGAGAAAATGAGCTACTTTTCCATTTTAGGGACCAACATAGCTTATAATTTCTGTGCTGTAATAGAGAAGGTTACGGTGGAGGAAAGCACTGCATTTTAACTTGGCAGCATTGGAGACTTTCCAGGTGTTGGGATTCAGCCTTAGCTTCCTTTATGATCGTTCTTTGTCTCTTCACTGTAATCTGGCCTAGGGTAACTTGAAGTAATAATTATTTATCTTTTCTAAGGGCAAGACCCCTCTCTATCCCTCCTCTGTCCTTTGCAACATCTAATTTGTTAGAAGGAAAGAAGATAAGCCAACCCAGGAGAACCTTAACCTTTGCTTTTAATATATTGGCTTCATAAACACACTGTGGTTTCTTCATTTAGTGTTTAGGTACCTGAGCACCTTGAAATGGCAGGGTAGTGATTTGCTTATTAGCTTTTCCCTAATAACAGAAATGAAGTGGGAGAAAAGTAACCAAGATACGTTTTCTGACTTTGGTGAAAGGAATATGACTCATCTTATTAAAGGCATCCAGGGGTCTTAATTGCAGAGAGTAATAGCATATGCTAGTCCCAACTGTTTCTACATCCACTGTGATGATTATAAGCTTGGAGGGAATGTTGTAAAAGCATATTTACCTTCATTCTTACTCATTTTATGAAACAGAATTTGAGTGGACAAAAACATCAAAATTATAACCATTAATGTTGGCAGGAATTTATTTACCTTGAACCTAGAGAGCTTTGGGAGGTGAGCCAGCTTCCTTTCGCATCTCTGTAAAATTTAAAAGATAAAATAAAAGTTACTCTGTTGAATCCTCATTCTATACATATAGAATCCTCTTCTGATTTATTAAGAACATGGGAACATATAAATTTATGGTTTCCCTAATTAAGACTAACAAAGCCTTTCAGTTCTTACCTGTATTCAATCAGGATGAGGTTTCTAAGTGGCTTTTGAGGTCCGATTTAAAGGGTGCTATTAGGAGAACAGAATGAGGGATGTAGGAAATGGTTGGATTAATTACTGACTTGTCAGATTCACTAGTTTCTCCACTTTGCAACAAAGGCACACGTTTTAATGTACAAGACTTTTGATGAGCTAGAGAACATTCAGCAAGAAATGGGCCAGCGGCTGGAAGAAAGACAGCTCAAGAGTAAACACAAATAAAAATTGCCGTCCAGGGGCTCTTAACGCCAGTGATTTTCCACTCCTGTTAGGATTTTGATTTCTTTCCAGAGGGACTTCAGCACTGGCCACATGCCAGGGGAGAACAATGTTCAACTTACAGTGCCGGTTGCCGCTCATAACAATCTCTCTCCGGTAGAAGCCCCTCAGATGTTTACACTCTGCTTATTCAGGGACCGTCACTGCCCTTGAATCTTCCCTAACCCACCAATGGAGGAGCACCTCGGAGCAACATGCAACAGGTGATCCTGTGCTTATCAAACAAACACAATCATACAGTGGGTAGGTACCGATGGCTATTGAGAGTGGCCACTGATTCCAGTTAGCCCCTCATCACTGTACCAAGAGGATTTAGATTTTGTAGAAAATGTTTGAAAATAAACACAACAGGTGTAGATGCTTCCAAAGGCATTTTCCATTGAAGTGTACTCGGCATACAATATTAATGTCAGGTGTACAACAACTCAACAGGCATATATGTGCTAAAATGTTCACCATGATAAGTAAAGTCACCTTACAAAGTTGTTAGAATAGTCTTGACTATATTCCTTATGCTGTACTTCCATCCATATGAGTTTTTATTTTTTAATTGGAAGTTTGCACCTCTTAATCCCTCTGTCTATTTTGCCCATCCCTCCTCCCACAAGCCCTGGCAGCCACCAGTTTGTGCTCTGTGTTTATGAATCTATTTTGTTCATTTGTTTTGTGTTTAGATTCCACAGACAAGTGAAATCATACGGTGTTTGTCCTTCTCTGCCTGGCTTACATCACTTAGCGTAATACCCTCTAGATCTATCCATGTCACAAATCGTTAAGACTTCTTTTTATGAAGAATGAAGTTATGCATTCTTTATCCATTCATCTATCAGCGGACACAGGTTGCTTCCCTATCTTGGCTTTTGTAAATAATGCCCAATAAACATAGGAGCATATATATCTTTTTCAATTGGTGATTTTGTTTTATTTGGATAAATTCCCAGAAGTGAAATTAATCGGGTGACATGGTGATTCTGTTTTTGATTTTTTGAGGAATCTCCATGCTGTTTTCCACAGTGGCTGTACCAGTTTACATTTCCAACAACAGTATAGGAGGGTCCTTTGTCTCCATATCCTCACCTATATTTCTTGTGTTTTTGATACTAGCCATTCTAACTGGTATGAGGTGATATCTCATTGTGGTTTCAATTTAAATTTCCCTAATGATTAGCAATGCAGAGCATCCTTTCACGTGCTGTTGGCCATCTGTCTTCTTTTGGAAAAGTGTCTATTCAAGTCCTCGGCCCATTTTTTAATCAGATCATTTGTTTTCTTGATACTGAGTTTTATGAGTTCTTTATATATTTTGGATATCAACCCCTCATTGGATATGTCATTTGAAAATATCTTCTCCCATATTATAGGTTTTCTTTTCATTTTGTTGATGGTTTCCTTTGCTGTATAGAAGCTTTTTAGTTTGATGTCCCTCTTATTATTTTTGCTTTTGTTTCTTGCCTGGGGAGATACCCATAAACACATTATCAATACTGATGTTCAAGAGATTCCTGCCTATGTTTTCTCCTAGGGGCTGTATGGTTTCAAGTCTTATATTTAGGTCTCTAATCCATTTTGAGTTTACTTTGTGTATGACAGTGATCCATTTCACTCTTTTGTATGTATCTGTACAGTTTTCCCAACACCATTTATTGAAGAGACTGTCTTTTTCCCATATAATACTCTAGCCTCCTTTATCATATAATAATTGACCATATATGTGTGGGTTTATATCTGGGCTTTCTGTTCTATTCCATTGATCTGTGGGTCTGTTCTTCTGCCAGTACCATACTGCTTTGATTACTGTGGCTTTGTAGTATAGCTTGAAGTCTGAGAGGGTGATACCCCCAGCTTTGTTCTTCTTTCTCAAGATTGCTTTGGCTATTTGGGTTCTTTGTGGTTCCATATAAATTTTAGGATTATTTGCTCTAGTTCATTGAAAAGTGCTATTGGTATTTTGATAAGGATTGCATTGAGTCTATAAATTGCTTTGAGCAGGATGACCATTTTGACAATATTAATTTTTCCTATCCATGAGCGCCGGATAGATTTCCATTTATTGATATCTTCTTCAGTTTCTTTCATGAGTGTCTTACAGTTTTCAGAGTACAAGACTTTCACCAACTTGGTTAGGTTTATTCCTAGGAATTTTATTCTTTTTGATGCAATTGGAAGTGGAATTGTTTTCCTGGTTTCTCTTTCTGCTAGTTCATTGTTAGTAGACAGGAATGCAACATGTTTCTGTATATTAATTTTGTATCTTGCAACTTTGCTGAATCCAGTTATTAGTTCCAATAGTTTTTGTTGGAGTCTTTAGGGTTTTGTGTGTATACTATGATGTTATCTGCAAATAGTGATAGTTTTACTTCTTCCTTACTAATTTGGATGCTTTTTATTTCATGTTTGATTACTGTGGCCAGGACTTTCAGTACGGTGTTGAATAAAAGTGCCAGGAACCCATTTGTTGAGAGGTATCATAAGTGGGTGTTGAATACCTTTTAGCATCTGTTGAAATGATCATCTTATTTTTATCCCCCTTCATTTTGTTAATGTGATATGTCATGTTGATTGATTTGCAGATATTGAACCATCTTTGCATCCCTGGAATAAATCCCACTTGATAGTGGTATATGATCCTTTTAATATATTGTTGAATTTGGGTATTTTGCTAATATTCTGAAGAGGCTGTTTGCATTTGCATCTGTATTCATTAGGGATATTGTAATTTTCTTTTTTTGGCAATGTATTTGGTTTTAGTATCAGGTTAACACTGGCCAAAGGCCATTCTTTTCCTTTTTTGGTATCCAGCTTTAAAATTACCTTGCTTCCATTGTCTGCATACCACATACAATTTTAGGATAACCATTACACAGCTCAGACATTTCTGACCCTGTACTCTCTATCCTCTGCCCTTACTTTCCTTGTTTATCATTTCCTGAATGTGTTCATAAGTCATCAAAATGACTTGGATAAGAAGCTTTAACTTTCTCGTTTAAAATATAAAGTAGTTCATGGAGTTCATCATGTTCTTTCCATATCCTTCATTTATAGCAGTGACTCTATGTTTAAATTATATAGATATATTTTTAAAATTCCGAAGCCTGGGTTTTATCCTGGGAGATTAATTGATTGGACACAGTCTCTCAGCATTGAATTTTTCATAAATTCTCCAAGTGATCCTATTTACAGTACAGGTTAAGAACTACTGATTTAAAAGTTGCACCAATTCTAAAAAACTAACAGTGTTGATTCATTTTGGTAATTAGCCATATTTCTGAATTTATAAATATTCAAAAACTTTAAGATTTTATCATATAGAACAAATTGAATTTGTTTTAAAGCACAGTGCTTAGTATTTTATCATGGATATGGCAATGACCATGAGAATATGTGGTCCTAAATATTGATAAAGGTATGTGAGATGAGGTAAAGGGTGGGAAATAGTATCAGTGCTAATCAAGGTCATAACTGAATAATAATTTACTCTGTCATATCATTTCTGTGGATACTGATTTCTTCAAAGAGCTAGATGGAAGGAAATATTCAAGGCCTCTGGGAATATTATGTTAAATTATATTGGCTTATTAATGAGGACATGTCTCCATGATCATAATTATCAAGTGTGGCAATACAGGGCAGGTGTATTTTTTTCTCTCCTCATCTTGCCCCTCCTGCCAGATTTATTCTAACAGTTCATTCATTAAGCACAAAAATTCCTACTTTGGTATGTAACCAAATGGCTAAATTACTTTTGTTAATTCAAATAGATTCTTCATGAATCTTACTTTAGTCATTGTTGTCATGTTTTAAATGTATAATTTTTAAAGTAATGTGTATTAATTGTAGAAAATGTGGACTGTAACAGAAAAACACAAAGAACAAAGTAAGTTACTGATGTTCCAGCCACTAAGAGATGTTTTCTTTTCTCTTTCTAAATGTGGATCCTTTTTAACAAAATAAATTAGTTGCAAATTATGTATATAATTTTCTAACTTGCCTATTTAAGCAGTATTCATTTTTAAGTATTAGGAAATTTTAATATAGCCATACTGTAGTATGGATATGCCATAAGTAACCACCATTCATCAATATTAAGTACTTCAGATGTAGACCACCCTGTTTTTGAGGTGTAGAATTGCTATTGTAATTAATGATTTTTAGACCTACTGGTAATGAGGAAAATCAGGTTACCTCATGGGAACTTGAGGCTTTCTTGGAGAGTCTGGTGTGTGCTCTACTGTTCAGGCTAACAGAGGGGATGCTACTAAAAGGTAGTTTAAGAAGACTCATGTTTGTTGAAAGAACCACAAGTATTGTTAACATCGTACTGTTTATGCCTCTCTTCAGTGAGCTCCTGCCTGAACCTGTCATCCGCTGTCATCTGTCCACTGAGACAACTTGTCCATCTTACTCTCTGTGGTCCACTCAGGGTTGGGATTCTGTCTGGGTGGCTGGACTTCCCTTTCACAGGCTCCCGCCCTAACAGTAGGTTGGCTGCGGTGGCATGACCCTGCTTCGGTTCTCCCATAGGTGGCCCAGCCTTGCCTGCTGCCCTCTACGTAATCACTGGCCTTTCCACCAAGAATCCCCACCCCTCACCACTTGAAATGGGTACACCTCGATCACAGAGCAGGAGGATTATAAGATATGGGGTGCCACACAAAGGTTCAATAAGGACCACTGTTGATTTTTTTCAAACTAAAGGTAGCTCATGCCTTTCTTCATAGGATGGTTATCCCTTATCTTCTCATATATATCTCTGTTGTCTGGGTTCAGATCACTGTGATCTCTCTGTGATTCTTTCTGTTATGCATGTGGAACAGTTTGAAATAGTACATATGTCACGATAATGCATCTCTTTTCATTCCTGGTATATCACAGTTGTTTGACCTAAAGACCTTCTGTTCTTACCGTTAGAGAAAATTATGGAATATTATTTTTTAGAGAATAATTCTTATTTCTACAATAAGCATTTGTGCTAATTTACTCATTCATTATTTACTCGTTCCTGCTCTAGGTATACAATTGATTTGCTCCATTTTTTAATCAATCTTTGAAGAGTCAACAAGTTGATTTTTTACTGTCTATTTCTTGTGATTAAAATGTGTTTGATTCAAATGCCATGCTTTAGTTCTTTAATCCCCATCTAAAAGCACGTTGCTTGTGTATATGTTGAGCATATCTTTTCTGTACACATTTATTTATGGAAGACACTGATACTGTGGTGCAAAACATTTTTCAACAAAGCTGACACCAAAAATAATAACTCTTTGGGGTTCTCGTCTCTCCTGGTATTCAGGGTGCTGGTTGTACAGCCCTGGTGGTAGCTGTTGTGGCAAGGAAGCTAGAACTTACCAAAGCAGAAAAACATGTGCACAACTTCATGATGGATACTCAGCTGACTAAAAGAGTAAGTCACCACCTCTGTGTCTTCACAGGGCATATTATTGTGCTTTTTGATCACGTTGAGCAATAAGGTTTTTATTCTGACCTCTATAGCTAAAATATCATGGGTTAAAGTAAATGCATTCTTAGAATCAACTCCATTTTTTCACATTTTGAGAATCTTCCTAACTTTAGGTCAGTTAGGAAAGAATTGGGCAACCTTGGTATTTACTCAAGAATAGAAATAAAACATATAAATCCAAATAGACATGCTTAACATTCAAGTTTGCAGTAACCAGAAGACACCAGGATTGGAGAAACAGGAAGGAACACACTGTCACTCTAAGACAGAAATTGGGGGGAGGTGATTCAACAATGTTTCACTGAGCTTCTGTGAGCTGTCACTGTTCCAAAGACAAATATGAATCCACCACGTACTTTCAGTGTTCCAAGACAGGGGCAAAGACAGGCCCTTTTCATGATTTTAAGATTATCCAAGGCATGTTGAAGATGGTATAGCATCCCAACAGAACACCTGGTCTGTGCCAGCCGCTGCTCTAAGGGTCACCTGTGTGAACTTGTGTATGGGGGATGTGCTGGTATTATGCCCATTTTACAAACGTGGAAGTCCAGACCCTGAGACATGAGGTAACTTGCTCAAAGTCATTATCTCAAAGTGGAAATAGACCAATCGCACCAAATTGTAGACTCTGTTGATAGTCACTGAGACACCAAAGTACCAAGGACATAAATGACTAAAATATATTGTATAGCAGTCACCTTGCTATACAACCACACCTCAAGTATGAGCCTATCAGGCTAACAAGGAAGTAATAAAATACATTGTCATTTGGTAACTCTGCTTGAAATCTCTATTGATTCTTTTATGGATAGAGTTTTAATTTTGTGTTTTTATTCACTTTTGATTTTGATTGTATGTATAAAAGTAATCATGTTTGATTTGGTAAATACTTCCTAATAGGTCATTTGCTTTAATGCCCGTATTTTTTTTATGGTTAATATTTACAAGATGCAAATATGAATTCCATTTGCCTTGCTAATTTCAAAGTCTTACTTATCAGACACTATTGCAAGACTTCACCGAAGTTAGTAGGCTCACATACAGTCTAGATAATCCAAGCTGCTCAAATGCAAATTTCCTGTTTTAGGCCTGGATTTACCACTTTGGAATATCTTCTAATCTACACCGTTTTCTCTCATATTCTTCCAACTCCTGAACTCATTCTCCAAACACATCTAAGTGTTATATAAAAGCACACAGAGAGTAAATAAGGAACTGAATGGAGGGGAGGGTTAGGGTCATGTTTCAGAAATACAGTAATAAATGAAAGTACACCTATATCAGTTATCAGTCCCCATCTAATCCCAAATTGAAGCACATGTTTTGTGTATTTCATCATATGCTTGTTTGGGTAAGTTCTGTACAATTTTTTTAAGTCAGAAGTTGTAAAATATTAAAAACCCTCCCATAAAGTCTCTGTATAGTCCAAGTGATGTTATCACGAATATTATACATTATAAATGTCACAAGAATTAAGTTAATGCCACATTGAGACAGAGAAAAACTTTGAAACCGCTTATTGTCCATATATCTGCATGTAAATCTTTATAACAGTTATAATAAAAGTGACAGAATCATAAATAAATCAATTTGGCATGTTTTCACATATTTCCCCATGTTTCATAAGCAGGTACAGTTGACTTTGAATAATGTAGGGGTTAGAGGTACCAACCTGTGTAAAATTTTCAACTCCCCCAAAACTTTGCTAATTAATAGTCTACAGTTAATGGGAAGCCTTACAGATATCATAAACAGTTGATTAACACATATTTTTCATGTAATATGTATTATATACTATATTCTTATAATAAAGTGAGAGAAAATACTGTGTTTATTGAAAAAACTCAGTGTATAAGTGGAACTGCACATTTCAAACCCATGTTATTCAAGGATCAACTGTATTTAGTTGTATTTTAAGGAAATAACCCATTTCTTTTAACTTACTATGGGATATTGATATTCTATATCCTAATTTTTGAAATAGGCTTTGATTCGAAAAACTGCACTATAACATTGCTATATGCCTGCCATCTTTGACGAAGATTTTTGTGAGATTCACAGAGGTCTCCCGGTTTCATTTGGGAGACATTCCAGGTTGGTTTTATAGTTTAGTTCAAGGGTCTCCACCTCCACACTGTTGACTACGGGGACTGGAAGGTTCTGTGTTATGCAAGACTTTCCTACACATTGTAGGACCCTTGGCCTCTGCTCACCAGATGCCAGCTATACTTGTTCCCACTTGTGACAATTGAAAATGCATCTAGGTCCTGCCAAATGCCCCCTCAGAGGACAAAATCACGCACAGTGAGACACGGCCTTAGCTTGTTACTCCCCAAGCAAGGTTTTGGAGACTGAGGCAATTCCTCTTCAAAGATATTCCTTGAATATCCCGAATTTATTGTAATCTCCTTCCTGGGAATAATAAATTTAACAAAAGTTCACTGTGTAACCTAATATAGCCAGAGTTCTGTGTTAACCGCTGAGGATAAAAAGCTGAAATAATCCTATCACACTGCAGGACTCAGAGAATTTAGAGTTTGTATCATGCTGTTCCTTTAGGAAATCAGATTAAAGATCTGTCTTACTCTGCTTAGCAGAAAAATGTACTTGTGTTTTTGCACATGTGCCCTCTAAAGCCTGATCCAGGGCCCATTTAGAGGATCCAGAATCTAAATGACTATTTCTTTTTTAATGAATGGGACTTATTTCCCCAAACTGATCAAATTTTCTGATTTTAGAGCTGTTTTAAGTTCTTGTATACTTTAAATTCCCTAATGTTGCGTTATGAGTCACACTGAACAGTCTACTGTTTGTAGAGAGCTTTTTCTGTAAGTACTATTCTGTTTTCAAAATTCGCATTCTCCACAAAGCTTATGATGCTTTGTTAATTCTATTATCTCATTACTGCTTCTTTACAGCGTAGCTACTCTGCAGTATTTCTTAGGACCAGCGTTTGTTCCAGGTCTGAAAAGACACACCAGCAGGCCTGCTGACAGGTCCATTTTCATAGGCAAAGGGTCACAAAGTACAGGTACAAATGTTGAAATGGCATTAGAATCAAACATAAATTTCTGGTTTATGATACCCATTCCATTATGATAATAAGTACAATATGTGAAAATAATAGCCCCTTATAGTTCTCTCTGCGTTATTTTATACCAAGTCATCAACTTAATGAGTGTCATTTACTTGGAACTTGATTCCATTTGGTTATTTATGGAATTTCTAAATGGGCCCATTTATAATTTTAATCTCTAAAATACTGAATGATCATTCATGAGTGAGCTCTGAGGAATAACCAAGAGTAAACAAGGACTTAAAACCACACAGAGTTACTAAGATGAAAGATAAAAAATACAGATTTAAGGGTGCTTGTTTATTGCTAGAGAAACACTACATAGAAGAAATTATTTTTTTCTGGTGGTCAACAGGGTAATGATCGCAGACCTTCTGAAATCAGAATATGATGCTGAAGAGAAAGCAATTTGAATGTTAAAATACAGATTATTCTTCTAGGAAGAAACATAACTTTCCCCTGTGCACTAGCATTATTAGGGAGATCGTTCTATATAATTCAGAAAGTGTATGTGACACTCTGCAGTTTAAAAATGGCCAGTAGGTACATGCACCCAGAATAATCTAATGATTTCAAAATGAAAACATAACAGCAGTAACTTGTCACTGGGCTTAGTAGGGCAAGGCCAGCTATTTAACAGATTTACAGAGCCAATGTGTTTACCATGCTATTATCCTTTATTATTATTATTATTACTATTATTATTATTATTCATTTAGGTCTGAACCAAGAAGAAATCTTGGGCTGTGGCCCTCTGAATACTTTCATTTTGGGAAGTAACTTGAAAACAAGCAATTCTGAGAGCCCAGCCCTCATTTTTAAAGTAGCTAGATGTACCCTGAAAGATAATTATACATATTAATGTCCACTGTGGGTGTTTCCAATCCTGCAAAGAATCCTCAATAAGATCCATAATAAGAACACTATTATGCAGTTAATGTAATTTTGTGTCCTACGTGCCTCCTAACAAGTGAACAGAAATTCCAGGGGAGTTATTCCATGTAGCTTTTACATGGTGCTTGGTTCTAATAGTATTCTAATGGTATTACTGCTTTTAGGGCCTTTGTTTTCTCAAAATACCTGATTACTAATACGCCTTTCAACATTTTTCTGATAAGAGTTGAGTGTTGATGAGACAGAGCAAATATTATTTTCCTTTTTCCCTATGTGTGTATGTAGAAATGGGTCCTCTTAAGAAAGAACCTTCCCTTCACTTTCCTTATTATTTCTTACTTTCCTCTTATTTCTTTGAAGTATAGGAAGTAAGTTGTATTTCATAGTGGTGTTGGCCCAGTAATTGGCACTAGAATTATCACAGCTACTAAATTTTTGAGGGATATTGTGATCCCTCATACCCACTACTGTGGTATTTAGCATGCAGTAGAGATTTAATAAACTTGAATTAGTAAATGGAAATGCACTGGCCCATTTAGATTCTAGGTCTCTTCTCTAACCTGTACACCCTTCTTTTCAAGAGGGTCCTTTGATTGATAACTATATCTGTGGTTCATGATTAGAAGTCTTTATGATGCAAATTATATACACTGTGGTGCCAACTTTAACACCATCCACATTGACTGAGCACCACCTATGCCCAAAGGACTGAGCTAGGCAGACACAGGTAAGTGACATGACCCCTGCCCTCTGTGTGTGCAAGGGCCCTGGGAAGGGGAGGATGGGAGCTCCAGGGTTACACGGTTCCAGAACCATTTGGCAGGGCCCTTAACTGCACATGACAAAGGAAACTTTCCTTCCACATCGACTCTCCTTTCATCTAAGTGGTCCCTAATGCACAGACCAACTCATCTCCCGGTTTTTCCTGTAAGTTTACATATATCCCTGTCATGTGACAACTTCCTATTGTTCAAACCCATACAACACTACGGTGCTTTCCACCCTGTCTTCCCACTGGTCTCTGTTCCCTTTCAACCCTAAGAGGGATTAAGAGACCTGCTTTCAGAAACATCAGGCAGAGGGCAAGGTGTTCAGCTCTTGGTCATATTGTTTTGTGGCTGCCATTTTGAAAAGTAGCAGTTAAATATGATGCTTTACAACTTTTATTCCTGTGTTTGAAGACCAATTAGGGAAGTAGAGGGTGTTTCAACATAAACATATCTATTTCACAGTTTTTAAAAGCAGCTGTAGGGATTTCATTTTCAGATGAGGAATCATCTTCATTTTTAGCCCATCACCTGAAACGAGGGCGTCTTTGTGAATACAGCTCCTGCAGTGGAAGGCCTGGGGGACATTGCCCCTCCCACTGACTTCTGAAATTGAGGTTCCTACTCCCCTTCAGGCATTCCACCGTCCCCAAAAGAAACAATAATTTCAAATACATTGAGGACAAGCAGGGACTCACCTTTTAAAATGTCTATAGGCTTTAACTTAGTAATTTGGCATTTGCTCTCTGTAGTTGGGAATCCAAACCAAAAGGAATTGCTGGGTTCTATGCCAAAAATCGTTATGCTCAACTGATCGGTTTTGGTCCCATCAGTTTAGCCCCCTTCTTCTAGCTTCCTGGCCAGTCTGGGTTCTGGGTTCCTCCCTTGTGTCTTGGGCTGATAAACTCAGGAGGGACAGCCCCTGGGCCCTCGCTGGACTTCCTGGGAAATCTAGCTGCTAGAGTTGAGACCTGCATGCGCTGGCCCTTCTCCTTCCCGGTGGGAAGGGCCTAGCCTACCCCAGCCAGTGCTGCTGGCCAGCCATCGCCTGCTTCTCTCCCTTTAAAAGCAAGGTCTTCAAGCTGCAGCAAGTCACGCTGCATCCATCTCCTTATCTTTGAAAAGGACGTAGCGTCAGATGGAAACTCCAGCGTCTGTGAGGAAGACAAATGTGTCCCCATGTGAAGGAAGCACCAAGAATTCACCGGAACCCCTTTAACCTCACAGAGGATGGTGGCCATGTCACTGCTGTGCACTTCCAGTGCTCAGGTTTCTGTCATTTCTCTGTGGGTTGGAGAATGCTCTCCGTGCAGAACTGATGAATATCCAGAGGAAGTGCATGACAAAGCCAATCACTCCCAGAAGCGGTTTTAAGAAATGAGTCATTTTCTTAAAATGGATTCTAGCAATGTAATTTCACTCACAGAGAAAACATTTCAGCATCATGAGGAAAAAAATCACCATCAGCCACCAAACCGGATACTTTCTTTGCTAAATTGAAAAAACACACATACCGGGGCCCTTAGTTTAAATATAATTCTAAGGCTGTTCCTTATGGTGAATCTAAGAGCCAAAGAGGACTTTAATAATAATTCTCTGTAACTTTCTCACATTAGAGAAGAGAAAATTGAAGGCCTACGAGGTTTGCTCGTCTCCTTGACCGACTTGGGTTGTCCGAAGTTAAGAACTTAGACCCTGCTTCTCAAGCTCGGCTCATTGCCTTTCTTAAAAAGTTTTCCTCTACCTGGTTCACCACTAACCTTCAATGTGCTTTGTGAAACATCCTTTATCCACCACTCAAAATAATTAAAAGGATAAACTACCTAGAGTAAGTCTTTAACAAGAAGTTACAGAGAAAGCTCTGGGTCACATTCCTTATCCCACAGTGTGGAAAAGGAAGACATGTCTGACCTTGGCTGGGCCTTATCAGCATCCAGGAATTTTTGAAAATGTTAATCAAGAAAGCAAATGATTGCAAATCCCTGGGGAGTATTCACACCTGCCATCAGCTGCAGTAGGCCAGTGTTACTATATGCTCATGCTTTGATCTTTTACATTTCTCCCAGCCACGTGAAATACACCGTGCTTAAATTACCAACAAAATTGTGACAACACAGACTTTCCATCAATTCATTAAAGAGCGCTCATAAGTGTACAATTTGCTGAGTCACGCCAGTAGGCTCAAGGACTGGGTCTGCTGGTACACTCAGCGGTGGCAACATGTTCTTCCTGCGGCGCCCGGCCAGAAGCACTGAGCCAGCTTGCAAAGGACAGGGATGACCTTGGCCTTCCTGCATTTGGCCTTTCTCCAGGGAAATGAAGACCATGGAGAGAACAATGGCAATACAAGGAGACTTCAAAGAGATTATTAGCCCCCTGATATTTTAATTCAGTTGTTGTGGCTGGACAGATGTAGGTGCTTTGGGCACTGACCTGAAACAAGTTTTTCAGAAATAGTTACTCAGCAGAGCTAGCGCTCACCCTGACCCCTGGGCTGAAGACTGGGATCCCTAACCAAGTTGTGAAAGATTCTGCTCTGGAATTTATCAACTACTTTTTTTTTATTTGTTTTCTTCACAGGTGAAAAATGCAGCTGCCAATGTACTCAGGGAAACATGGCTAATTTACAAAAATACAAAGCTGGTCAAAAAGATAGATCATGCAAAAGTTAGAAAACATCAGCGAAAATTCTTGCAGGCTATTCATCAGTAAGTACCTTTTTCCATTTTCATCCTACTTTTATATATCTGGATTTTAATTCTCCTAGTTGGTTATTTCATGCAGGAGGGAAAAAGAAAACATTGTTATTTTGTTCCCAGAAGACATTATGTGGCAATTTAATAATTCCATAAATGAAATCCTGAGAAAAATTGTCAGTTCCTTTTATGATTGAAAATCATTGATTGGAAGAATAGTCATTTAACATAGTCATTAAAATATCTTCTCAGTTTCTCTCCTTATACAAGCAATAATTTCAGTTAAACTTGTATTTCTTAATTTAACTTATTTATTCATTGAGTTTGTTCTAAGGTGTACTGTGAATTCTTGAGAAAAATTTAACATTTTATGATCTGTCTGGGCTTTTTTAAACATTCTGCCAAACATCTTTATGAAGGTAGTATATATGCTTGATTTAATACTCGAATTTTTAAATTAGCTTTAAATCACGACTTGGGGGGACTTATATGCTACATGTTCATTGTAGATTTTATAGTTCCTATAGACATTGTTTTCTTTTATCATTATTCTGACTTTATCGAGGCCACCATTATTCAATATAAGTCCTGCATGCCATTTCATTGTTATGCCATAAAACTATCATAGACTTTTAAAGTACAAGTCTCTATCTAGTAAGTTTCAGTGATCGTTTGAAAACCCCAGGTCTTTCTCCCCCAGGCTGGCAGCATCCTTACCGTAAGTACATTCATGTGGGTGCCACTTATGACACCAGGCCGCCTCATTCTTAACTTAATGCTGTTTCCGTGTGGAGAAGAGCAGCGACGTCACACTTGCGGGTCAGAGGAGTGGCTTTCCTTATGCCCCCTAGCAGGGTAGTCATGGAAAGGTGTGTAGATACTAGATATCTTGATTATACAGTGAGCTGTGTCTTCTTAGAGCCAATTAGCACAGCAGATAAGAGAGCTCTGAGGCTGGAGTATTAATAAAAATACATACTGGATTCTGTAACTCAAATGTAATTAATAGATGACACTAACATCTGTGGGAAATCTCTAAGCATTTATCTTACCCTTCCCCCCATCCATCCAACTGCCCTTTTTAAATAGGTGGAATGTGTCTATAGTATGGACACACATGTACTTCTTTAGGACTTGCTCCCCTCCTCAGTGAAAATGAAACCCAAGCACTCTGAGTTCTAAAATAGAGGGGCCCTCTGCACACACGGTAGAGCAGCTACTTATAGCTGTTCCTTCGTGGTGTCTCCTGCTGCCACCAGCACCAAAGTGATATCCTTTCTCTTTTAGCTCTGTGACTTGTCACAAAACTGTGCTTTTTACCCCATTATAAGGAAAAGATAAGGCTAAGATTCTAAGATAATCCTCTTTCAAAGTCTGGAAACGAGTAAAAGAGAAAAGCACAGACGGTAACATTGTATTAGACCTGGTTCACCAAGGGAACTTGCTCCCTGAAGCTCACAGCCACCTGTGCAGCCAAGATCCACCACTTCACAGGACCTGCCTCCACATCTTGATCCCTTCAAGTTTAAACCTAAGAGAGCCAGTCCTCTGAGAGTCGGGAGCCCTCACCTCTGCTCTCATCAGGCCCTCCTGTCCTAGGATAGGCCTCCTCTTCCAGGGCCATTTGGCAAAGGCTCCTGAGAGAGGGTTCATTGCTGCCCCCCAAAACCGTACAACAGAATAATCCCAACACTCTTACGAAAGGCTACATGATCTACTCCAAAGAAATCATTCTTTGTACTCCCCGTGTTTGAATACTAACCTAGTTCGAGTATCTGAGAGAGAAAACTTACCTTCGTGTGTGAGCAGGAGCGGCATCCACAGGAGGGAAGGGCACGAGATGAAGTAGAAGCGAGTTAGTGGTCAGTCCAGACGTCGAGTGGCACACGTGCCATTTCCTCTAGATCGTATTTGAGTCCCTTTCAGTCAGTGTAAGCACCTATTAAATAAAAAATGAAATGTGATTTGCCTTTGATGTTACATTTTCATGTAACAACAGCAAAGACACTGAAAGTAATGCTGTGGCAGTGTGTGTGATGTAGTTCTGCGGCCATGCATACATGTTTACGCCCTGTCATAGAGCTCTGAAGTTCTGAATACATTCCCATTTAAAAACTTGGAGGACAACTTAGGGGCGTTTACTATAACCTTTTCAACTTGGCTGTAGGTTTGAAAAATCAAAGAAAAAAATGTGTAAAGTGTAAAAATTTGGGGAAAAACATCTTTGGGGAAATTGAGTTTCAGAACTGCCTCTAAGCAATCTGAGTATTGGTGTGTGGGGAACAAGGGACTGTCAGCAAGCTGCTTTCAGCTGGAGTAACAGGCAGTCACGTGTGAATCTTTGCTTTCAGACTTCTCATTCTGTCTCTTCCGTAACAATGTGTGCTTCTGAAGTAGAGGCCCTTCAAGCAACTCAGGACTGTTCTACATTGTTTCACAAATTACTCTTGGGATCAATGGGTGTCCTTTGAGGTGGGAGGGTACTTAGCACTCTGAGAAAAAGCACAACTGAGTATCAATATACCTGCGGGCTTGGGCCTCATCGTGCACAGTGACCTTTCATCACACATAGTGAGTGACACCATCAAGGAGGGTGCACAGGGCTCAATTCCTGAGGGCTTTGTGTCCCCTGTTCAGACACAGTGAGACCTTGAGCCTGTCTGTCAGCACTGGGGAAGCTGGACCTTGCTACCTGAGGAGAAAGAAATGTACAAATTCATTTCTCCTGGCCTCTCCTATTTAAAGGGGCTCTCTCCTTCTACCAGCCTCCCTTCTACCTCCCTTCTCCTTTCTGAGCCTCATGGATTCTCTCCTTGACGCATAACCTCTGCAGCCTCTGATGGACGCCTGGCTTTCCAGTCGTGGGTCCTCCTTTAAATCACCTATCTGACTTTTGTGGATCATCACTTAGTGCCATGAAGCATCCTGTTTCTATAACTTATAACACTTTTTCTGCTATCAGTTTTAACTTTAAAGTTTATCATTTTTTTTTATCTCAGCTGTACACCCATACATCAACATGAGCTTGTTGAAATCCAATCAACAGAATTTCTATAACAGAGTGTTAGATGACCCCCCTTTCAGAAAACCAGGCTTTTAAATAGCCCCAACTCAGAAAAGATGTGCCCTCTCCAGAAAAAAAAAAAACCCTAAACCTTATTGTTTAGAATATTGTCCTTTTAATCCTATCACATTCATATTAGGCAAGAATGGTTCTTGGAACGTCTTGTAACAAAGAGGCCAGGATGACTTTATACAAGTTCTTCCTTCTGAACTCTAGTCCTGGAGGAAGCAGTGAGCTTTCTTGCAGGTGGGGAAGTATAGTAACAATGAAGAAAGATGATACCATAATTGAATGGTATTTCTCTTTGATCCACATTCACAAATCCTACGGAATCTCAACAGGATCTTCCAGCTAATGAATCGAGCCCCTTGTGCAGTATTGAACACAACACTGTGTTATTTTGTTCCAGAATATTTTACAGTTTCTTTTCTTTTGTCTTTTTTATTTCAACAAAATGAAAATAGAGCTCGGAAGTAAGTTGTGTGAGCCGCTACTTTCAATATTTGCAGAAATTTTTACCGGCTGCATGCACCCAAGCAGATCTTTATTTGTGAATTTTAGTAGTCTGATTGCTGCTATGGAAATGTGATCCAAAATCATGATATTTTCCTGTGATAAGTGAAGTTCACAAGGAAGAAATCAACATATGTTTCTTATTCTTCTTTTTTGGGGGAAAATGTGAAAAATACACATCGGCATGTTACCTTTTATTCTGGCAGCTGCAGATGAAGTAGGCTTTTTCTACCAGTTCCCCTACATGACAGGCAGTTGAAGAAGCAATAAGGCAGGACGATTTCAGTTCAAGGAGCTACAGAACTTCCAGTCAAATAGGGCTACTCGGTATTAGCTTTCCAGATTAGGAGAACATAAAATGGGCAAAATTCTACTGTCAGAAACATAATCCTATAATCCAAGAGAAGTAAAATTAGGTTTCCTTGTTTGGAGGATGAAACACCCACCCCAGCCAGGGGATCAGCACTGACCCTCCCACCTGACTTTCTGAGTTTAGGGATTTATCTGCACTCACCAGTAGCTGGAGGTTTCTAGTCTGGTATCCCCAAACTTTAGTCATTCATGTGCCACCTCTACTATTACTTACTTAAATTTGAAAAGAAGCCTTGATATAAGTCCCTATCATAAGTGGATGAAAAAAATATTGTTCCCAACAGAGAGAGTTAAAGGTAACATCAACTGACAATTTTAAACTCTAGCTATAGACTTGTCCGCTGCAGAAAGCTCTGAGCTGATCTCCTGCTCCTTCTTTTTCAAAAAGGAGAGAATAGCAGGTGTTTGGAGATAAAAACAGGATAGGGCCAGCCTGAGACATTTTTCTTGTAACGATCAAGAAATGGAAGAGAACTAAAGGGACTGTCTCTCCATCTGTTTTTAGTATCGCAAAATGTCTTGTTTGAGTATCACTTAGTCATCCAGAACACCTCTGGTGGTATGAATCCAGCCCTTCAAAACACTGTCCCAATCTAACATGCTTCATTTCATACATGAAGAAACTGAAGGCCGCATAAGGGCCGGGGAGGATCGAATCCATGTCTGATGTTGTTCTCTCTGACACATTCCTCTGTTATGATCCACATGTGCTTAAAGGTTTTTTTTTTCCTTGTTTTTAAAAGGTACACAACAAGAATTATAGCCCTTATAAGTACTTAGAGAAACATTTCTCAAAAACATATTAGTTTTATATGTATGTTGGTAAATTTCTTTTAAACATATTCCATCTCTGTAATAAAAAGTTCAATAATTTAGTCCCAAGTGTTTATAGAGAAGCACATAGTCTCAGTTGAGTATCTGAGAGAGAAAACTTACCTTCGTGTGTGAGCAGGAGCGGCATCCACAGGAGGGAAGGGCACGAGATGAAGTAGAAGCGAGTTAGTGGTCAGTCCAGACGTCGAGTGGCACATGTGCCATTTCCTCTAGATCGTATTTGAGTCCCTTTCAGTCAGTGTAAGCACCTATTAAATAAAAAATGAAATGTGATTTGCCTTTGATGTTACATTTTCATGTAACAACAGCAAAGACACTGAAAGTAATGCTGTGGCAGTGTGTGTGATGTAGTTCTGTGGCCATGCATACATGTTTACGCCCTGTCATAGAGCTCTGAAGTTCTGAATACATTCCCATTCAAAAACTTGGAGGACAACTTAGGGGTGTTTACTATAACCTTTTCAACTTGGCTGTAGGTTTGAAAAATCAAAGAAAAAAATGTATAAAGTGTAAAAATTTGGGGAAAAACATCTTTGGGGAAATTGAGTTTCAGAACTGCCTCTAAGCAATCTGGGTGTCGGTGTGTGGGGAACAAGGGACTGTCAGCAAGCTTTCAGCTGGAGTAACAGGCAGTCACGTGTGAATCTTTGCTTTCAGACTTCTCATTCTGTCTCTTCGGTAACAATGTGTGCTTCTGAAGTAGAGGCCCTTCAAGCAACTCAGGACTGTTCTACATTGTTTCACAAATTACTCTTGGGATCAATGGGTGTCCTTTGAGGTGGGAGGGTACTTAGCACTCTGAGAAAAAGCACAACTGAGTATCAATATACCTGCGGGCTTGGGCTGGATTATCCTCATCGTGCACAGTGACCTTTCATCACACATAGTGAGTGACACCATCAAGGAGGGTGCACAGGGCTCAATTCCTGAGGGCTTTGTGTCCCCTGTTCAGACACAGTGAGACCTTGAGCCTGTCTGTCAGCACTGGGGAAGCTGGACCTTGCTACCTGAGGAGAAAGAAATGTACAAATTCATTTCTCCTGGCCTCTCCTATTTAAAGGGGCTCTCTCCTTCTACCAGCCTCCCTTCTACCTCCCTTCTCCTTTCTGAGCCTCATGGATTCTCTCCTTGACGCATAACCTCTGCAGCCTCTGATGGACGCCTGGCTTTCCAGTCGTGGGTCCTCCTTTAAATCACTTATCTGACTTTTGTGGATCATCACTTAGTGCCATGAAGCATCCTGTTTCTATAACTTATAACACTTTTTCTGCTATCAGTTTTAACTTTAAAGTTTATCATTTTTTTTTATCTCAGCTGTACACCCATACATCAACATGAGCTTGTTGAAATCCAATCAACAGAATTTCTATAACAGAGTGTTAGATGACCCCCCTTTCAGAAAACCAGGCTTTTAAATAGCCCCAACTCAGAAAAGATGTGCCCTCTCCAGAAAAAAAAAAAACCCTAAACCTTATTGTTTAGAATATTGTCCTTTTAATCCTATCACATTCATATTAGGCAAGAATGGTTCTTGGAACGTCTTGTAACAAAGAGGCCAGGATGACTTTATACAAGTTCTTCCTTCTGAACTCTAGTCCTGGAGGAAGCAGTGAGCTTTCTTGCAGGTGGGGAAGTATAGTAACAATGAAGAAAGATGATACCATAATTGAATGGTATTTCTCTTTGATCCACATTCACAAATCCTACGGAATCTCAACAGGATCTTCCAGCTAATGAATCGAGCCCCTTGTGCAGTATTGAACACAACACTGTGTTATTTTGTTCCAGAATATTTTACAGTTTCTTTTCTTTTGTCTTTTTTATTTCAACAAAATGAAAATAGAGCTCGGAAGTAAGTTGTGTGAGCCGCTACTTTCAATATTTGCAGAAATTTTTACCGGCTGCATGCACCCAAGCAGATCTTTATTTGTGAATTTTAGTAGTCTGATTGCTGCTATGGAAATGTGATCCAAAATCATGATATTTTCCTGTGATAAGTGAAGTTCACAAGGAAGAAATCAACATATGTTTCTTATTCTTCTTTTTTGGGGGAAAATGTGAAAAATACACATCGGCATGTTACCTTTTATTCTGGCAGCTGCAGATGAAGTAGGCTTTTTCTACCAGTTCCCCTACATGACAGGCAGTTGAAGAAGCAATAAGGCAGGACGATTTCAGTTCAAGGAGCTACAGAACTTCCAGTCAAATAGGGCTACTCGGTATTAGCTTTCCAGATTAGGAGAACATAAAATGGGCAAAATTCTACTGTCAGAAACATAATCCTATAATCCAAGAGAAGTAAAATTAGGTTTCCTTGTTTGGAGGATGAAACACCCACCCCAGCCAGGGGATCAGCACTGACCCTCCCACCTGACTTTCTGAGTTTAGGGATTTATCTGCACTCACCAGTAGCTGGAGGTTTCTAGTCTGGTATCCCCAAACTTTAGTCATTCATGTGCCACCTCTACTATTACTTACTTAAATTTGAAAAGAAGCCTTGATATAAGTCCCTATCATAAGTGGATGAAAAAAATATTGTTCCCAACAGAGAGAGTTAAAGGTAACATCAACTGACAATTTTAAACTCTAGCTATAGACTTGTCCGCTGCAGAAAGCTCTGAGCTGATCTCCTGCTCCTTCTTTTTCAAAAAGGAGAGAATAGCAGGTGTTTGGAGATAAAAACAGGATAGGGCCAGCCTGAGACATTTTTCTTGTAACGATCAAGAAATGGAAGAGAACTAAAGGGACTGTCTCTCCATCTGTTTTTAGTATCGCAAAATGTCTTGTTTGAGTATCACTTAGTCATCCAGAACACCTCTGGTGGTATGAATCCAGCCCTTCAAAACACTGTCCCAATCTAACATGCTTCATTTCATACATGAAGAAACTGAAGGCCGCATAAGGGCCGGGGAGGATCGAATCCATGTCTGATGTTGTTCTCTCTGACACATTCCTCTGTTATGATCCACATGTGCTTAAAGGTTTTTTTCCCCTTGTTTTTAAAAGGTACACAACAAGAATTATAGCCCTTATAAGTACTTAGAGAAACATTTCTCAAAAACATATTAGTTTTATATGTATGTTGGTAAATTTCTTTTAAACATATTCCATCTCTGTAATAAAAAGTTCAATAATTTAGTCCCAAGTGTTTATAGAGAAGCACATAGTCTCAGTGATAAGTTGTAACCTTTAGCTGTTTTTGACTGTTAAAGATCATATTGTAGGCAGGTGTCAGTTAAATTCTTACTGGCAGAAGGAACTAGTTCTTCACTGTAGGGCAGATTTGGTGACTTACTGACAGCCAAGCTTCAGAACCAAATCACGAGCGTTGTGAACATCTATTGCAAAAATCTCCCTGGCAGTAAAATCTTGCCCTGTGAAATTTTTTATCCTTTCTATGTAATTACCTTTAATTTAGATTGGGAAATAATAAAAAGAGTATTCTCTCCAACATTAACACTGTATTTTGTGAAATGACTTGTCATCACAGTAGTAAAATTAATGTGTTTTTTGTTTTCTCTCAGTTTTACTAAGTAGCTCAAAGAGACCTGCTTCTCTTCTGGAGCATGGCTTTGAATTCTTGGTTTAAAGAAAAATAAACTACTTTTTCCTTTGTTAGGAAAATCTTAATTTCTTCATATATAGTAAGCACTGAATAAATGTGTTGAGATATTACAGTCAATGAGGAATAATAAGTTCTCATTCAGAAAGACTTATTTTTCTTGTAACTGTGGCCTTTTGACGGTCAATCAGATATACACAGTGATATTTAAAAGTGTCTAAAAGTAACTTTACAAGTAGAGATCCCATCTGTCAGACACTTTAATTGTCCTCTAACTTATCTACAATAGAAATTAAGGGAAATTCTCCCAAGGAAATGGTCTGGCTTCCCTATCAAATTCAATGGCAGTTTAAGACAAGAGTCAAGTGACATAATAATGAAGAATAGGAGAATTGTGTGTTTTGAGTTTTCTTGCTGCTGGTTGAATAAAAGTTTGCTTTTTGCTAATGAGAATCTCACTTATCACTGTTTCATCAGGTTCAAATACCCAACCCAATCCATTTCAGACAACACAGGGCTAACACCTGTATCTAGTCACGTAGGCATAGGAAGGTGCTTCCATCTCTGATGAATTTCCGGTTGCTTTGCATACTTCTTCCTATGTCTATTTGTCATGATACTGGGATCTTAAGGAATGTTTTGGCTTTCCTCATATGGTTAAACCCTTATGAACCTTTCTCAATCCAACTCTGACTATCTGGTAAATCGTTGTCCAAGGACACCTCATCTCTTACTCTCTCCTTTTTCCTTTTTGTGGTGTTGGGGAAGCATGCTTCCATTGTACCAGATACATAACCAGTTTGGACTTTACCCCAAATATTCAAGGCATTATCCATGCAGTTACTTGCTCTTGTCAATTTTGTGCATGCTCTTTGGTATGATGGCAGTAGAAAGAGGGGAACCTTTTTGACTTCAGATTCTGTCTTTTAGATTAAGAAGTGTAAAAATGGAGCAGAGGAAACTGAATGACCAAGCAAATACCTTGGTGGACCTGGCAAAGGTAAGCGTGGGGTCTCAGCCCTCATGTTGTGTCTGTGGGAATTAACTGCCGTAAAATAACTAATAATACTTTTGGAGCTGGCCACTCCAAATTTATTTAACAAATCAAACCAACAAACCACCCTAAAATGATGGCTCAAGTTAAAAGAATTTTTCTACAACACTTACTGAATCTGCTCTTTCCCTATACGCATCACCTCCAAACCCATTCTAAAAGCTTTCCTGCTCGCAGTGATTTCCAAGTAAAGCAGGAAGCATAAGCAGAATGTGAGACAATACTTTTGGGATCCTGTTTATGGTTCAGGCTCACCCCTAAGATAGCAAAACTGTATCCTGGGTTTGACTACATAGGACTCAGGGCTACATAGGACTACAGGAGGTTCAGGGCTACATAGGAGGTTCAGGGCTACATAGGACTCATCCGTAAAGAATTTTAATGTGTATTTTAAGCAAACTCAGAAGAATATAAAGTTGAAATTTTTTTAAAAAATACAAGAAATTACATCTGAAAATGGAAATTGTTTTTCAAAAATATCACTTTTTATAATTTGTAATCCTTTCTCTATTTCATTATTTAAAAGTCAGACCACTTTTTTAAAAGTACATTAATCAGCCCCAAATTCTTTTCTAGCATTTATAAATTTATTGGGTTGATTTTTGGTTGTTCCTCCCAAGTAAACTCCACTTTCAAACTATGAGTATTTGTCAACAATGACAACATTGCATTTTTCCAAGCTAATTCTAAAGGAGGTATTAGAATAGCATTATATTAAGTGTTCAGCCTTTCAGAATAAAGAGGTGATCTCAGTTGGACCTGTACTTTCTGTTGTTTGACAGATCAGCTATGTCCTTTATAAAGCCTCCAGTGTAATCTATAAAAACTACACCTATTTGTCCTCATCTCATGAAATCACCCAACTAAATTATATTCATTTTAATGAATATCAATAACACATTCTGTATAAATATGTTGAAAATGAATATTTAATAGCTTATAAGTAAAAGATAATAAGTGAGATATTTAACAGCTTATACCTAAGAGAGCATACATCGTGCATTTAAGCTGGGAAGCACACATATTTGAGGCCTGAAGACATTCTCGATTAATATTTGCACACATAGCTCTCACTTGGACATAAACAAAGATGCTAAATTGTCATAAACAAAGATGCTAAATTGGATGGAAAAAAATGAAGAAAAGCAAGACCACTTGGAAATGATATATATTATGTATAATAAAATGATATATATATTCTATATGTGTGTATAGAATATATATATATATGCTATTTCTTTCCAGTTATTTTTTTAGTGCTGTACTTACTGTTATGACTACAGGGCTGTCTATGGGTTCAGTATTTTCTGAATAAATTAATGCACTCTCTCCACGGCCAAACTCAAATTAGGTGCCAGTGTTTTGAAGAGTAACTCCCTTATTTAATTAGCTCATTTATCATCATTAAGAGGTTGTTAAGCAAGATAAAAGCACACATATTATAGGGGGAAATGAGAGAGGAAGAGGGAAGGCTTAGACACATGGGTCTGAGACATGGAGAAGCTGCCCTGGGATGAGGTTAATGTTGCATCCTTCTCTCCTGGACCAACCTTTCCCCTCTCTGGCTCTGAGCTGATTAGCCCTTAGGTACCTGGTCTCTTGGCTACTTCCAGAAACATAGTAGACATCCACAGTTATGAACACCCTCTGATCAAGACAATCACGTGCATGATTCAGTAAGACCTCAGAAACGTTTTCCTCTTTTGAACCACGTAGCTCCAACTAACTAAGCCACAGCCAGTGAGCTGGCAACTGGTATCTTTCCCAACTTTTATTCCATCAGTGGTTATCTATAAAAATGGTATCAGGCCCAATGGAGAGCCTATGATTTGGAACATACGATAGCAAAATATATTTAGGAATTTTTTATTGCTCTAACTTGCTAAATTACTTGATCAAATCAGTTTATCTTAAAAACTTCATTCATATTCCACCCTCAGAATTTCTGCTACATCCTAGCACCATCTGTACTATTATTTATTGTTCTTTAACTCTGCTTGTTTTTAAAACGAGCCTTGTCCTAATTCATATTATAACATTGCAGAATAAATTTGATATGCTAACTTTTGTAACCACCATTAAAATACACATGTAAATACTAAATCAAAACATGTTTCTCTCTCTGTACACCACCTAAAATTGTTCAATCGGATCATATTAATGCCTAAGATCTTATACTAAATCCTGGCCTTGAACAGACACACTGGATTTGTTTTGCACGGTAATGTGTTCAGTTAGCTGACACCCCTGTTGCATTTTATGTCACCAGAAGGCAACCAGCGTAATGCTGCCTTAGTTCTGTTCTCTGTCCTCTCAATCCTGTCTTCCAGACCCAGAACATCATGTATGACATGATTTCTGACTTAAATGAAAGGAGTGAAGACTTTGAGAAGAGGATTGTTACCGTGGAAACGAAACTAGAGACTTTGATTGGGAGCATCCACACCCTCCCTGGGCTCATCAGCCAGACCATCCGGCAGCAGCAGAGAGAGTTGATCGAGGCTCAGATGGAGAACTATGACAAGCAGGTCACCTACAACACTGAGCGGTCCCGGTCCTCGTCCAGGAGACGGCGGTCTTCCTCTACGGCGCCACCAACTTCATCAGAGAGTAGCTAGAAGAGAATCAGTTAACCACAAAATAAGACTTTTTGCCATCATATGGTCAATATTTTAGCTTTTATTGTAAAGCCCCTATGGTTCTAATCAGCGTTATCTGGGTTCTGATGTCAGAATCCTGGGAACCTGAACACTAAGTTTTAGGCCAAAATGAGTGAAAACTCTTTTTTTTTTCTTTCAGATGCACAAGGAATGCACCTATTATTGCTGTATAGATTGTTCCTCCTGTAATTTCACTAACTTTTTATTCATGCACTTCAAACAGACTTTACTACTACATTATATGATATATAATAAAAAAAGTTAATTTCTGCACATATGTGTTTGGTCACTTGACATTTCTAAAAGGCTCACTTCTCACATTATTTTCAAGGTAAAATGACTGACTATCATCTCTTGTGTATTGATAATTTTGAGTACCAAAGCTTGGCCAGCTGGGAGAGGACTTCCAATTACGCCACACCCCATTCACTAAGATTTTCCCTCATCTTGAAATAGTATGATCACAGTCATTTGACCCAGCCAGCTTACTGCAGTTTGCAGCGTATCACCTCTAATTAGTTTCCAGTACAATGGCAAGTCAGACACATCAAAGCACATGTTTAAACTAGTGGCACAGATGCTTTCAAGAATTACTTTTTCCTGGTTTACTTGAAGAACCTTTCAGGATGTGCCACTGCTAATGAACTGATGATGCAGAACTGGAGGCCCAAATTGGTTATTTCCTCCCTTCCCATGTATTCATTTATCATGAGGGACCTATGATGCACTCTACATGTTCAGATCATACACATGAATATTCACATACATATGTTTTTGCATAGCTCCTAACAGGACAATGAGTGGAAATGAGCATAACTCTTAACGTGTCACGTACCACCTGGCCGATGGTCTCCCCTAATCTGTGCTTACTAGTGTAAGGCAGTAAATGGTATCAGTGAATTCCAGGAGTGTCATCACACCTGTTTCATGGGCAGTTAGAATTGGTTTCAGTGAAAGGGCACAGAGGAGTTATTGCTGCAAACACGTCTCGTTCTAAATTCACTCTAAGAAACCACTGGGCTTAGAAGAACCATCTTTGAAGTGGCAGCAGCATGGAAGTCCCTCACATGGTGGTGTTCTCAGCATCTACAGGAAGAACTGATCTGTGGTGATGGGGTAACACATAAACATAAGCCAAGATTTGGACACCTCTTAAGCCAATCTGCTTCCATTGGCCTAAACCTAGAAATTACTCCATTTTCAGAAAAATCTGCTTTTGCCTTCTTCCCCTATTGCAGTTGAGGACCACGAAAATGAGAAACCGAGTCAGAATGATGTTAAATGCAGAGGGCTTAGACTTCCTTGAAGACTAAGCCCCAAGTCAGCGCTCCCCTGTGCTGTTACTAAGTTTCAGCAAGCAAAAAGACAGGCATCGATTAATGATTATAGGATGAGTTTTTTTCATCAAGCTAAACAATTACAAACTAATCCTCTTAAAGTTTCTCTTATGTCTCGTCAAGTCATCCGGTCACATGAGCCTCGCGGTGTGATCCTCATCTGGGTTTGCCTGGGAAAGGATCAGGAAAACTGTTTGCAGTCCTCATCACACCGCTCATGACTTGCGCCAGATTCCAAGACGCAGCACCTATTGTTCTTTTCTCTTAGATTAGTTTCAGCTGTAGACTAAGTTTAAGCAGGAACTAAATTACAGCAAGGTTAACTGCTCGGGTATCTACACTGGGGTATCTACATGCCCCTTTGTTTCACACCATACCCTTTGGTGTCTCTCTTACAACACAGCAAGTTGCTAGCATACCAAGTATTTGTTATCTTCAACACCAACCTAGTGATGTATTTCATCATCTTACATAGTTCAATGTATAATATCACTTTCATAACTATTCTCCCTAATGAATGCAAAAATCAAACATATCCATTCAAGATCAAGGGCATAGGAGCATGATTCATTTAGACTGCATGAGAATTGTTTATTATTTATTACCCATCCAAGGTAGCTGAAAATAAAGCCTATTCACAAATCTTATATTTGTCTGTATTGGGTGAAGACAAGGCCTGGAAAGTCTTTTCATAAAAAGTGAAAGAAAAACCCTGCTTACAGGAACAGGCTGCTGAATTAAATGAACTTCAAAGTCCTACTTCATAGATGACGTTAAAATTTTCTTTTATGTACTCTAGGTTACGTACAAGAATATGTCGAGTGTTTGGTGTAAACATTCAATGTAAGAAAGAGATACATTTTGAAAGGATGATTAATTTGTTCTGGCAATTGATACAGTTAATTCTTGTATATTCTACCTCTGTTGTGACTAAAAGGCAGAATAGCAGATAATTAAGTTTAATTATCATCTTACTGATCAATTAGCACCACTATCCCAGAAAACAAGAAGACAAGGGAAAGAAAATGTATAGCTCCTCATGCTTAAGAAGAGAGAAGAGAAAATGAGTTTTGATTTAGATTTCAACACCTCTGTTTATTCTACTCATCCTTATTAACTGTAGCCCCAGTAGGATGTCATTCATTAGTTCTCCAAAATTAATCTTCCTTTCCCTGTTTCTTTAGGCAAAGTATGTGACAACTGGTAATTGTTCAACAAAAGCATATGATTTTTTTTATTTCTCTATTTTAAAAATTACCAAATAACCATGATTTGAAAGAGAATCTACCCCTTGCATAGATATTGTGGCCAACGGTTTGCGAAATGAAGTCTACTTTATCCAACATTATTACCAAGTCTTCTCTCTTGTGCATTTAAACATTCAGTGAAATCCTTTGAGCACTACTTAGATGACTGCTCTTTGGTGGTGATCTATGCCCTGCTCTAATTTGCACTTGGTTTTTCAAAATTCGTGGTGATAATTGGGTCTGTTGTTACAATTTAGTCTGTCAAACCCTGGTGTCCCTATTTCTCTGCAGCCAGTAGAAGAACATATGCCTGCCACAAGTCATTTTGGATCACAGGGGTGCCACCTTCCTCAGTAACTTTCTTCATTCCCCTTACTTCTACATGGTGTCACAGGTAAACCACTTGGAAGATAATTCCGTGCTCTTAAGGCAAGGAGGATAAATTCATCATAGGTAGGAGATCTAGAAATTCCATATGCTTTCTGCCTAATTTCTCCTCCCTTGGTGATTGCTTCCCAAGAAACTCTCCATCACAGCATATGATCAAATAATTATGTTCCATAAGAGAGTAAGAGAACTGGGAGAAAAACCTGTTGGTTAATTTTAATATAAATCTTGAGAGGTGGATTAATATTCTACAGCCCTACTATCTTTCAACTTCTCCCAGTCTTGAGGAGTAAAATGATTCAGGAAAGACTGTAAGGTTCAAAGTGGGAACTGGGCTTGGGAATGAGTTTGGCCGTTTGCTGCTTCTATACAGCCTTAATCCTCCTGAGCCTCTGTTCTCTTATCTACAAGATGAGTGTGCAAAGACACAGATATGAACAGGGGCTCTGTAAAGCTTCGCTTCTATTTTACCAAATGAAGGTGGGTATTTTTGATAACTATTGCTGGCGTAAGGTAACAAATACTAAACACACCATTATCTTCAGTGAAGTTATAAATTCTCATCCTTGCCTGTCTAATTAATTCTTAAAGCATTTCCTATCACTGTTTTTTGTTTAATGTGACCTAGAATAGCAACAGTTGTGTGTGCTTTGTGATTCTGATATACCCTTTCTTCCGCTTGCCATCCCACAAAAGCTGTTTATAACTATGATCCGGAAGTGTGGAGGGCACTGTGTCCTATGCTTAGGACTTGGAACACTGATTGGGCTATGCTGGCACAGCCACCCAAGTGTTGGACCAAAGGGCTCAATTCCTTTACCAAATCCATCCCTGTAGTCCAGGGGCACACAGATACAGCTTGTGTGTTCTAACTGATGTGTTATGTCAATCCAGCAAGAAAAATTTATCAAACTGTTTATTTGACAAATAGAATCCTACGGAATGGTCTGGGGCTTGGAGACCCCCTGCAGCCAAGGGGTAAGACATGCACCTCCCTCGGCCTCCCTGTTACTCTTGCTGGGGTCCATGATGGGCGTGCTCTTTTTTGATTTCTTAGGCCAGAAATAGTAGAAGAAATTAAAGCACAATCAGGGCTGCCTTCTAGGACTTCTCTTTAATATTTTGAGTCAGTGAACCCAGAAATAGAAAATGCAGGTTATAATTTTTCAGATATCTCCTATATCAAATTTTTAGGAATACTTTGAATGTTTTCCCCCAGACATGGCCTTTTCCCTAGTTATGAGTTTTCCTCGGCCCCAGTGTTCCTGTAAAGTAGGGCCAGGAGGTGGGGAGGCTACAAAAGTAATCGGGATGACTGGAGTTGCTCGTCCTGGCAGGGTTAGGCCTGTTGAATGGGTGCCCGCTCGGCCCACTCAGCTTTAGGTCCGGCTCTAAGCTGAGTGGCGGGATGTGGTGCTCAGACCGGAAAGCTTACCAGAGAGGCTGCTCTCCCACCTTCCCACTTCTTAATGACTTGCCTCCTCTCTCCTTGCTAGGAAAGCAGCTCTCGTCTCTCTCTTGATAGCCTGACTACCTACTTATCAGTATCCTGGGGTCTCCTACCCAGATCCCCCTCCCCCCCCAAAAAAATGCTGTAAATAAGGCAATATTTCTTGTTAGTCAATCCTGTCACTCAAAAAACATATTTTGGGGGCAAACCTAGTGGCCTCCGTTGAGGTAAAATAAGGAAAATAGTTGAGGACTCAAAATTGCTTTAACTCAAAGGAAAATGCAATGCATTGTGGGTATGAATGACAGGGAAAACAAACAGGTCACAGGATCCACATTCTGAGCTGAATCCACTTCCTACCTCTCTGCTCCCCGGCCAGTCACTGAACCACACTCCAGCCAGGGCCTCACATGCTGAAGAGACTGCGGCCACCCGCCCTCCTCAGATGGCGGATAAGGGATGATGAGACGCTAACAGGAAGGTATCTCTGTCTTCACTGTAAAAGAAGAATCAAAATTGCTTTAGTAAGAAGCCATTTGGTATAAAGTACAACAAAACTAACGCCTTCTGGTCATGGGATTCTACATCTACAATATTCTGCCTGAAAGACCAGAATTTTCACTGTACCACTTCCCACCCAACAGACGCACACCTTTGTCTTCGGTGTGTACACGGAGAATGTGATCACGCCTAATCCTGAACTGTATGTGAACCTCCACTTTTATTTGTTTCGCTGCTTATATGGGGAATGTTAAGTTGAAATTTCATATCTTTGTGGGCTTTGGGAATATAAGTCCAAATAACCTTTCTATTGGGTAGAATCAGAGAGGAAACTGTGAAAAGATAAAAGGC